CTTTTTCTTTTGATTTTCCAACTAGAAGGTTTCAATTAGCACCTTCTTCTTTTGCGTTGTATTCTGGGGTGTCCTCCAGGGACTTGATGTGTTACTGAATGTTTTAAGGATCAGTCCAGATCTTTAATTCTGCTTGTGCTTTTTGCACTGGCCGTGCTGTCACACAGCTGGTACTGTGCTGTGCATCAACACCAGTTCTCCAGTGATTTCTAGTTTCAGAAGGGATGCAATTTGATTAGGTGGAACTGGCTTGTTTTGGTGGTCATTTAAAAATTAACATTGTGTGTTTTGCTATTGCACAAATAAAAATTACTTGATATAGCCTCAAGATGCTTTATTTTTAGTTTTACTTTGGGATTAAAAAATGTTTAGCTCAGAGTTATTAAAACTTAAACATTTTGCAGAGCTTCTCTCATCTGCTTGCTTAGATCTGGGCTGGATTGTAACCCTGGTGTCGTAATTCCCAGCTCCCCAAAACTCTTGGCAGCAAATCCTGTGTTACGAGCCTAACAGATCCAAGGTATAGCAGTCAGGGAAAATTAATGCATGCCTGAAGGTGAAATTTTTTGCTTTCTAGGATCCTACCCATGCCTGGAGTGGGGGTTTAGATCACCAATTGAAAATGCATGATCTGAACACGGACCAAGGTAAGCAGATGGAATTCTGTAAGTGGTCTCAGCTGGCCTAAGCTTCAGATTTATATACTTAGATGAGCAGAATATGTTGCAGGTTTTTTTAGGTGAGGGGTGTCTGCATTAAGTAATAGCCTCTATTGATTTAACTTGTCAGTGCTCAGCAATTTTCTATGCTATGAATCCCTTTCTCATCACCGAGGCACAGAACAAGGCAGTGTTCCTGACTGTAGCTGAAGATTGTGCTGCAGTACCTGTAACAGAAGGGCCAAATCCATTCCTGCCAAACTGAGGCATTAAACTCTGCCTGTGGTGAATATTCATTGATATATTTTACATGTGTATTTGTTTTATTTATTTTAAAGTGAGAAGGGAAGGAAAAGAAACAGCTATATCCTTGTCATGCTGATAATTTAAGGTTCACATCATTTGTGCCTTTATCTAGCAGAATAGTGGCCCTAAGAATCACCACCTAAAAGCATGGAAGGGGCTGGCAGTTTGCCAGAAAGTTTGGTAGGTGCTTGTAGGATGCCTTAAATTGGATTTCTGATGGTAATCCTGCTCTGCCACAGGCTACTGTGCCTCCCTAAGATGGAATGAGCTGAGCTGTACTAAAACTAAGCATTTTCCAAAGGTTTGTGGCTTAGACATATTTAGCATGATCTTTCATATGCATGGCAGAATGTATATAAAGCTTTTGATTTGTCAAACATCATGGCCTTCTACTACACTTTCTTCTGATTCAACATTGCTTGAAAATAACACAGTTCCAGTGCCTTACTAGACCAAAATGTGGAGCTGGTTTGTCCGACTTGTTTGTGTGTGTGTTCAGGAGAAGAGTGAATCTCTGCCTGAGACAAGTGTGGTTAGCAGAACCAACCAATATCCAGGGCTGGACAAACTTGTGTGTGTAGTAATGTTATGGAAAAAAAGCAACTAATTGTTATAGAGGACCTTCTACAAGTGTTTACGTTAATAATCTTGTTAATATGTAATATTAATTCCTTTATTTTGTCATAATGTTAACATGTGCAAGCTTAAGTCACTTTCTGTATTAGTGTCTGCAACAGTGTTGGTGGTAACATTTGACAGTGAACACTTTACACCTCTGAAGGTGTCTCTGTGGCTATGAGATGGAGAGAAGTGGACATAGTGTTTAACATCCTTGATCTTTGCAAAAGATATGCTTCTAAAGACTGACTATTTTTAGAGGAGCACCTAACACATCAGTACACCCATGGAAATATCAGAAAATAGTCTGTTTGTACTGCAGAAGGATGTCCTGTTTCTTCAACACATTTTGACTGCTTGTAGAGCCAATGAAGTTACAAGAAATTGTATTTTCTTACAGAAAACCTTGTTGGAGCCCATGATGCTGCTATCAGGTGTGTTGAGTATTGCCCAGAAGTGAATGTCATGGTGACTGGAAGCTGGGATCAGACAGTTAAACTGTGGGATCCCAGAACTCCTTGTAATGCAGGAACCTTCTCTCAACCTGAAAAGGTAAGTTCTGGTTTGGGTGCTGCATTCCAGGTGACATGTTAAATAATACACCCCGTGACTGGTTAGTAGCACAGTAGGGGACACTGTTGTAAACTGCACTGAGTTTGAAAAGTTACAGTCAATGGTTTTTAAGGTGTGAAAATGATGCATTTTAAAATACCGATATTCAGAATATATTGTGACTTTAGGCTAAGCCTTTAAGCTTTCATCAGTAGGAGAGCATAACTGAGTTCTTGGCACTCCTGATGGACCAAATTCTTATAATGGAAAATGAACTCGAGGCAGGAAAGCCTAGAAAGAGCAGTGTGGAGTGGATGCAATCATTAATAATCCTTGGCTTAATTGTGATACGCACTATCAATTTCCTTGAATGTTTAGACTTTGGATATGTCAGATCCTGGCAGTTGTAAGGGCTGATTGTTTGGAAATGTGGCTAGACATATAGTAGGAGGCCAGTTATGTTGCCTGAAGTAGTACTTTGTTTTTTCACTTATATTAAAAGATTGAACAGAACTGCTAGTATTGCAAAAGTGTAGTAAATTCAGACCTTCTCCTAATACTCAAATGCTCTCTACTAGTGAGAGACCAAGAGAAATAAGGTAAAATGTAATGTCTTAAGCTTTTTCTAGTAGTTATACATTGTGCTAATCTTCATACTGCTTACAGTGATGCCACTGAAAGAATTTAGAACAATGATTTCTTGAGGATTTTTTCTTTAGACTCTGAAACACAGGCTGGGTTGCTGGATAGTTTCACACATGAATAGTTTTTTTACCTATTTCTGTTTTGAATTTCATTTGGCTGTGTCATGTTGTATTGTCAAGTCATAGTTATGGGCCATCATTACGTTCCCTGTTGCATCTAAACAGCTATTCCTTGTGCTACAACATGTCTTGCCACAAGTAGATTTAGCTCTTTGTTCAGAATAATGTAGTTGCATGATTTCTAGTTTTGATTTATAGTTGTATGTAGCATGTAAAGAAGTGTGATAAATTGCTGGCAGAGTGTCATGGACAGCCACAGTGAATCAAGCTGCTTATTGGTTCAGTAAGGTTCATTATGTCATTTTTTTTAATACTGCCTTTGATAAATGTGTACACCTACTCAACTGCATGACAGTGATTTTGTGTGATTGATGATTGTGTGGTGTAGAAAGAATACTTACTGTACAGGTGTGACATCCATTTGTAAAGAAGATTTAAGATATTTAATGTTCTGTAGGCCTTTGTTTCCATGGATTTATACAAACACATTGCATAAAATGTTTACTAATACTTTTTTGGATCAATTTTTACATCAGTAATGAAGGGAGGTTTGAAAAACTGCTTGTTAAAGTGTGTAACTACTGTTGGTTCAGTTTTCTTGCCCTTTTTGCACTTAAGTGGCATTTAGCAATTGAAATAATCAGATCCCAACTGTAAACAAACACACACATAGATATACACACACAGAGACATGTTTGTGTAGGTATTTTATTATAAATTAACTTCTCCAGAAATGTTTCCAGCAAAGTTGTTTAGTCTGGTGTTTCAGTGCAGCCTTACTGGAATCAATAGCTTTATTTGGCTTCATCAGAGAACCAGAAAGTGAAACCATGTCCTTGAGTACAAGCACATGTCAAAAGTAAAGTGACTCCTACTGGAAGGTTACCAGCTCTCTTACACACTTGGGATTCTTTTCATTGAGCCATTAAAATCAGTTTTGAAAAAGCTCATTCTCGTGTTTAGCTCTTGTGAGCTCAGTGACAGGACAGCTACAGGTAGCTGGATTACATCTTGTTTGTGTATCAACAGCTTGGAATTCATTTGAAAGCACAGAAATTTTGACTGAGCCTTTTTTCTTAACATATTTCAAGATTAATCATACTCCAAATAATAGCTGGAAACAGAACAATTTATATGCTCAGTATTTTAATGAGAAATTTGATCAAGAAAAATGAGAACCTCTGAGGTGGTTTTTGGAGCAGAGTTGAAATTCCAAACCATAGTCTTTTTTAATGATGTCAAACATTGTTTCCTTTGGTTTTACTTGGTTTTATTAAAGTATACAAAGTACTGTTTTTCAATGATTTCTTGGCAGTTTATTTCCTTTTATTAACATGAAGCTCAACTTGAGGTATTCTGTTGAAAAACGTGATTACCAGAAGGCAAAAAACAAAACAACCATGAAGAAAATGTGTGATGTTATTGTAGGATGAAGGTGCAGGGTCATGAGTTGGTAGTGGGGAATGCCAGCTGGGCATGCCAAGATCAATTCCAATATCCATGCCCTTTTCCTCCCTCTGTCACTTGGTATCTGTTTTCCTCTTGCCTTGAAATACCCAATACATTTAATGCTTGAAATCATCTTTGAGGAATAATACTGAATTAAAAGTAAATAGCCCTGTAGAAGTGTAGCATGTCAAATGTGGGTGGTAGCAGCCAAAGGAAGGAATCTGACGTGTGGAAGATGATTTTGATACTGCTGAGATCTGCAGCCTGGGGACTGAACAAACATGCTGACAGCTTAGAACTGCACAACTGCATATGCATATTACATTTCTTTTTTTGCTAAATTGCTAAAATTATGTCGTATGGTGCTACATTGTCTTGGTTTTCCAGCTAGAGTGCAGGATTATGGGAGACTTTTGTCTGGCCACTAACCAGCTGCAGCATGCATACTGCTGACCTTTTGTACAGAGAACAACGGGTACCCAGGCTCGTAAGTCTTTAAATCTGATGTCTTTTTGTTTGAAAGGTGTACACACTTTCTGTGTCTGGAGACAGGCTGATAGTGGGGACAGCAGGTCGGCGAGTGCTGGTGTGGGATTTGCGGAACATGGGCTACGTTCAGCAGCGAAGGGAATCGAGCCTCAAATACCAGACCCGCTGCATCAGAGCCTTTCCAAATAAACAGGTATGGGAACCATGCCAGGAATTATATTTCTGCTGAATACTCCTTAGGAAAAATGGTGTATTTTTCAAGTTTTCTGCAGCTGTCATTTAAAAATATATCTGGTCTTCAAAACGTCGTAATCAGACTCTGGGAGGGGAAACAAAAAATGGTGTTAAGGCTCCTTGTTTCAACTTACCTGTTTTATTAGTGTAGCTTAGAAATGTTTGCCACTGACTTACCATCTTATGTTTTATTTTTTTACTCAGTTTAGTCTCAATTTTTAATCTATTTAATGCATTACGATGCTGACATAATGTAAAACCAAAACGAGGAAAAAAAAGCCCCACAAAGCTGCAGTAGGAGAGAGAATGAGAGAATTGGTGGTTGCTCAGCAGCCTTTATGCATTGTAGCCCTAGGTTCTTCAACAGGCTGTGAGCCAGGGGCAGGATTACAACTGTAAGAATGTCCTTTATGTATTTTTCTTTTTTTTTTTAACTCTGCGTCTGTGTCATGCACTTCAGAATCCATGATCCATTATCTAGGGGGAATTGTTCAATTTAGATGATGATACAGCTGTTCCATGTAGGTTAACATACTCTTACCTGTGGTATTTCTCTTTCTGAAGTAAAGCAACAAGATTAGTTTTTTCTGACAAACGAATTTGGAAGGGAATTTTCCCATGTACAAAGTGATAGTACAGGAATTTGGAGACCTAGTTACTTGTTCTTGAACTGGCATGGACACTTTGTCCATTTTCAGTTCCAGTTATAATAAAACAAGCTGATCTTCCAGATTGTATTGTACTATGAATTTTAAAGAACCTTGCTATAGCTAGATACCATTACAGTCCTATTTCTGAAAAGATCTGTTATAGGCTTAACTCAGACATTACAATAAAAGCATCTCAGGTTGCTCTAAGTCAGGACTGTAGTTAACTGAGTAAGTAGACACCACTTACAATCAGGTGTCACTGAAAATCCTATTTCAACTGGAGTGTTTAGTTGCTAGTGTAAAGCTCTGAAATAATTTAAATGTAATTCTGAAACTAAGTACTCCCGTGAGTCTCTCTCATATCTGAGATATGTAGGCCCTGGGGGATTGGTGGGCAAATACAAGGAGTTCTTAACTCTTTAACATTTTTTCCCCAAATCAACTTGTGTTTGGGCCCACAGGAGTAATTAAAATGTTCAGTGTTAGCTTAAATATCTACGGTACAATGAGAATCTCTCTGAAAGGTTTTTTTTCTGCATTACTTCTTTCTGAGAAGCAGATTTTATTGATGATGCCATGGCTCAGTGGTAGCAATTTGTGGTTGTACCCAGTTTAAGACAGTATTCATTTCATTTATTTGACTTTAGAGGGGTAGAAGATTAACTGTATTGCAATCTCTTCTCTAGTTGTAAACTCCTAAAATGTGTATTTCAATTTTTTTTTTCTTGATAGGGTTATGTTTTAAGTTCTATTGAAGGTCGTGTTGCTGTGGAATATTTGGATCCAAGTCCAGAAATCCAGAAGAAGAAATATGCATTCAAATGTCACCGTTTGAAGGAGAACAACATTGAGCAGATTTACCCAGTTAATGCCATTTCTTTCCATAATGTCCACAACACATTTGCTACAGGTAGTTTTTTTCTAATACTTGTATAAGTTCCTTTAGTTTTTATTTGAACAGCTCAGTCTTTACTTCAGATGCCCTTTAAAGCATTTAAATTCTATTTGCTGCGATAAGCAGAGTTTTTAAATGACTGGATGCAGAAAGAGTTAACTGCTTTAGCAGGGATTTTGTAGTGTTTAGTGAATTATGCAACTCTGTGTAACTTTGTGTCCTTACTGACATAGTAATTCCAGGTGGCTTTCTTTTTTTCCTTTCTGTGCTGTATCTTTTCGTTCCTCCCGTTCTCCCAATGACAGTTTACAAACAGGTTTTAAAACTTCATTTTCAGGAGGTTCTGATGGATTTGTAAATATCTGGGATCCCTTTAATAAGAAGAGGCTGTGCCAGTTCCACCGGTATCCCACAAGCATTGCATCACTTGCCTTCAGCAATGATGGAACTACCCTTGCAATAGCCTCCTCATACATGTATGAAATGGATGACATTGAGCATCCTGAAGATGGTATCTATATTCGCCAAGTGACAGATGCAGAAACAAAACCTAAGTGAGTATGCTTCACCTGTATTTGAGCCTTTCTGAGCATTCATCCCAAGATTTATTAATTTTCCTAAATTCATGAATAGCATTATTGATGGCAGTAGATAGTGCAGCTTGACAGTAGGGTTGGTTTTGATTTTATCTTGCTTGCCCAAGCTTTCAATATCCGTAGGTTGATAGACGTCTGGTGGATAAAATTGTGCTCGGTTGTTTAGCAGGAGAAGAATGTCAAACTCTTCTCCTTTTTGAATAGGTGCTATTATATGAAGCTGTGGAGTTATTGCTAGCTCGTTGCTGCAGGAATTAAGTGGAGGATTCAAGAATAATTTATTTGAGTTAATGTTGCTATGTTTGGATATTTAAAACTTGGAATTAATGAAATCTTTACACACTGGGTTTGCAGCCAGCTGTCAGAGCCAGGAGTGAGTCTAGAGGCTGTTTTGGGAAGGTTGTGTAAAATCACAGGAAAGCTTTCTCAGTTCCTGTGTGCTGGAGTTTGCTGCAGCCCTCTGATAACACACTTTTCTATCATTGTTGCTGTCAAAATTGGGCAGACTGATTGATGCAGGTAAAAGATTTCTGTTAAGCTTGCTTTGGCATGAATGTTACATAGAAAAATTGCTGTCACCGTGCAGAATTGCACTGCTCTTCATTATCCTAGCACAGGAGCAGTTGTTTTTATTTGCAAATTCCTGTGGTTTGTCATTGCTATTTTTTTCCCTTCTAGTACTCAAACTGTCTTACAATGTATCTGATTGTCTCCATTACTTAGTGTCTGAGTGGCTATGTAAATAGACACACAGAAGTGATCAGGGTTCTTGAGTTTAAAGCCTCCAGACCTTCTCCCCACTCCCTTCAGTGACTTGTATATTGCTTCAGAGCAGCCATTTTATTATTGTGGAGATGTGAGGTGGAAGTTACAAGGGAATAAACACAACATCTCTCTCGGAGATGTTTGCTTTAAAATAATTTTCGTGTTCATGGAAAAAATAAAACCAGAGTTATTCCAGTATTTATTTCTGGGGCTTCCTCAAGTGAAAAACATAAATCCATAGATGATAATTCACATTTATTTTTAAAATCAGGTAGTTCTTGTTACATCCATTTGGGAGGGTTTAAAAAAAAAAAAGTGATAGAGGAATACTTGCTGCTATTTGTCTTGTAATAGTAAAAGCTGCTTTCAGTTATTTTTGTTCACTGCTAGTTATGGTTGCTAATTCTGTAGATGCTTCATTCTGCCTTATGAGGAGGTTAATCTACAATTAAACAATATTTCCTCTTGGCCCTCCATTATTTTCTGAAACAGATGGTTCATCATTTCCTGGGCTGTTAAACACAGCAAGGTTAAGGTTAGACTCAAGGGAATCAGCTAGTTTTGAATCTTATTAGGCTGTAGAAGGAAAACTAATAAGAATACTCCTTAATATCATTTTGTGACTGTAAACAATTATTTATTAGCAAACAATTGATCCCAGAAGGGCAAATTGTTTGAGTCAGTAATGAGCTGAGAAAAGACAGAGCATATCTGTGTATTTGGAAAATAATTGTAACGTAATTGCAATGCATTTAGACAGGCATCTTTTTGGACCTGTTTCTATCTTTAAATGAATTTCTGAAAACATTAACAAGGTTTATATGCTTTTCTGACATTTACAAGTTGCTTGTGCCAACCTTAGGGCACTAAGAATGATGTGTATATTTTAATGTTACAGCAGTGTGAGTCATCTCTGGTTTGTTCTAAAAATAAGTTACTTAGGACAGAAAGCTAATACTTAATTGGTAGTGATCATTTTGCATATTAATTTGAATCAGCATTTCTGCACAATGCATTCTTAAATGCATCAACATGGTGCTATATTATATGAAGAAAACTTAACAAGGTCAGCTTTTTGATCACTAAAGAATTATATATTGTCTCGATACAAGTGAAAGGGATCTTTCTGCACATTTCTGCTTGTATACAATGTTGAATGATTTACCTGCTTATGTTTACTCTAAATATTGCTTGCTGAAATACAGTTTGTTTATTTCAGGTCAACTTAGACTTCTAGTTATTCTTCTTCTCTACAAGAGGTGCCCACCTGCTTCTGACAAGACTAAACTAGAACAATAGAAGTGAGAAAAACAATCTTTGTACTGATCCTGTTTTTAAGAAATATTTGTTTGTATATTGTACTATGTCTTACTCTGTCATTACTTGCCTCTTTAGATTAGTGAAACTTTTCTTTTTTTGCTGTTTGTAGCTAAATTAGCTCAAACCTGTAGGCACCTTTGCATATACCCTTATTAAAATGTATCACATTTTGTAGTATCTAATGATGAAAACTTCCAGTGGTCTCATAATTGTTCAATAAAAATCTGTAGGTTTTTTGAAAACAAATACTTTGTGTAACAGCCTTTACTATTTGTGAAGCAAAGGTGAAGATGAAACCTTGCAGTTGCAAGAATTCTTGAGTTCTAGATTGTCCTGATGGAAAATTTTCTGAACAATTTGTCTTTTTCCAAGGAGATGAACTGGGAATTTCTTCATTACCTGGGGACATTGTCTCTCCAGGCAATGTTTTACAGGGCTGTGAAAGCCTGAAGGTGTATTAGGTGGGTTTCTTTCTTTCAGTGACTTAAATACTGGAGAACAATGAACTGTTTCTGGAAGAAAGGACTTGAACACGTGGTACTCTTTTTTTTTTTTTTTCACATGCTGCATTAAAAGCCTGAAATTAGTGATGCCTGGGAAATATTGAGGGTAGGGGGAAGTAATGGAGACCTTCAGCCTACAGTTGAGGTTCCAAACCTGTAAGCCCAGGTTTTATGGAATCACACAAGTAGAGGGTAGAAAAGAACAGTTTTGCTTGAGCAGAAATGTAATTCTGGGCCCAGAACCCATGAAAACAGGCTGTTTTGTTGCTAGTTTATAAGAAGTCTTATCTGTGATCAAATTTTATATCAGCCTCTCGAGGATTTTGGAGTGGAGGATAGGTGTGAGAGGATGATTTAACTTTGATAAATTTCAGATTTCTTAGGAAAGCAGTATTAGAAGAACAGGTTAAGCACAGTGTGTTTGTTTTTTCCAAGCAGGAAAGTAGATCTGATGAAGAGAGAACCTGCAAATCCTTTTTCTGCTCAAGAGAAATGCTTTCTGATCAGTCCCACCAATACTAGCTATCTTGTGCAGCTCTGCAGGACAGACTGTCAGGCTGTTCCCTTAGCAGTGCCTTGTGTCAGATGTTTGGGAAGTGCTTAATACTGAAATATTCACTTTGTAGTGAATAGTAAGGAGGGACAGAACAAAGCTCCTATGAGGCTTAGCAAAGATGAAGGTGTGGGTATTTTGGAGTGGTGATTGGATTCATGTTTCCAAGACATTTTGTTCTGAGTCTTTGTTCTGAGCCACAGGGGTACTTTAATACCTTTAGGAAAACAAACTTTCTGGCAACAGAAATAGTTCCAGAGAAGATGAGAAGATAGTGATGGAGAGGAAGCTGGGCTGTGTGCAGAAAGCTAACAAACTTGAGCTGTTACCAGGTAGAGATAGTAAATGAGTTGAATGCAGGATACTCTATGATTTGTAATGAGCTAGATATGGATTCTTTGATTATATAAACTTGTTTTGATAGGTTTGAAACAAAGATGAAATATGTATCATGGCCTCACTACAGTAGCATCCAGCCTGTTTTCTGATAGATGTGCAGCATTTTAGTTGGCTTTTTTGCACTGAGGGTTCCCAACTCTGATGTTGGGCAAAGGTTGAATTTTTGGTGCCAGCTTAGGAAGGAAAGCACGTGTGACTGTAGGTTGAAGCAGCAGACATTGTGTTCACAACACTCAGACCTTCCAGGGACCCACACCACGGTGTGTAGGTGTGAGCAGATTTAAATACATACAAACATACACGGTATCTGGTTGTTTCTCCATCTTTTCTCGGCCGAGAGAGGATAATACAGAATATAAGCTGGGGCCCACAGAAAAAAGAAATTCTTTTGTCATTACCTAGAAGCACAACAGTGACCCTGCTTGTGGAGAAGAGAGATCTGAAGTGAGGGTGGATCCAAATAACGTGAAGGCAGAAATAGATTGGGACTAATGAAATGGTGGTTTGGTGTGGAGAAAGGAAAGTGAAAGGGAGAGAGGGAGTTACAGGGGTAGAGTTGTGGGGAAGGAACAAAGTGAGATAAGAGCTAAAGAATGTAGGGGAAAAGAAAGAATTAGAGGAATTCCAAATAGTTTGGTTAACCGAGTAGACACACAACCTGGAAATGATGCCACCCATGCAGCTTTTCATTGGTAAGTATCTGGGGGGGAGGGGAAAAAAACCCCAACCTGTTAATGCTCGATGTGTTGAGATCTGCGTGCTTCACTGGATAAAAGCAGCCCAAGATCTGTAGGAGGAAATGGGTCGGACTTAGTGGTTCTATTTTGGCTTAAAAATGGTAGGAAGTTTCCTTGTGGTGTGTTGGTATTCTATTTAAATGCTTGAAACAAACAAGAGCCTGTAGAAAACAGTGAGACATTTGGGCATAAAAGGAGGAGAAGGGGAAACAATTGGTCAGGGCTACAGCTGTGCCCCCGTATTAGTTACAAATACATGCACTTAGAGTAGGGATATTTCTTCTACAAGATTAATCTTCCTTTTATTAGCTCTTCTAGAAATGCAGGTCAAAGCAGAGGTTCATGTGCTGGAGAAATCATGAAATGAGCCTTTTCTGACCTATATAACAAACAGCTGAATAAAGAGTATGTGCTGACTCTTGCTCAGAGGAATTGAGATCTGAAAAAGCTCCTTAAGTCATTGCTTTTCGCAGGGTGTTGAGGGCCCTACAGCAAACATGGAGTCAGAGCTGTCATTCTAATGGAGTCATCAATCACCACTGACTGCAGGAAAAAAATGCCATGGGTTGTGTCTCACAAGAGCCTCACAACACCATGGTATTAGAAGCCAAGTGGCATCTGCGCCCTGAATGTTACAAAAGCATGCTGGTAAGTGTCCTTTTTTCCTGTGGGCCAGTACTTCAGG